GTAGGTGCAAACAAGATATTTTCTTCTTCTAGTTAATCTTAATGGAGCTAATAAGTTGAGCAAAACAAATCACAATTTCCTCTAAACGATGATTCCCTGGTCTAGGTTACAAGCTATTCAAGACAGGAATTAGAGGTGGCAAAGTCACCCCATCCAAAAGTTCAAACAGGTAGGAGCAGATATGTTTACAAAAATAGAGAGGATTGGGGATGTAGCTCAGTGGCAGAGCGCTTGCCTAGAATGCAGAAGACCCTGGATTTGATCCCTAGCACTCCAGGGAAATAAATAAATAAATAAATTAGAAAGAAATAAGTGTATGTATGTGTGCATGTGTGTATTGGGGGTGGTGTTGTAGATGTGAATGTCACAACAGGAGAACTCATGCTACAAACCTGAATTTTCCAGGAAATTAAGGAAAGAAGAAGAATAAAAAATAAAATAAATCTTAAAAAAGAAGGAAAAAGACAGAAAAGGAAGCAGTCTTAAAAGCTGCTGGTGTAATTTCAGAGGACTGAGAAACTTGGCTCAGCAATGATGGTGAGTTTGTTTTTCAGAGGTGCCCCAACTACAAAGTATTCCTCCAATGGTCAGAAGCCTTCCCCTTGCAACACTTGTCTGTATACACAGGAGCCCTGTCCTTCTCTGGTAGGTGACCCAGAGAGCTTCCTAAAGGTCCCTCTACCTCAGACAGTAAATCCACTGGCTGAGGGAAGAAGAGATTCTAGAATACTGATACAGGTTCCTAGCATCCCAGGAACAGTTTATAGAAAAGTAAATCTCCCTAAGTAGCACCATCCCAGGCCCCAATCATTGTGAAGAGGCTGGAAGCTAAGTCAGACTCTAGCTTACCAGCCACTTTAGACAAAGAGGATGCCCAGGAACCCCCGATCCCAGCTCCCTACAAATATCCGCAGGCACAGTTCTAGGGCAGGCTGTCCTTAAGTAGCACAAAGGGATTGCTTCCTATGCTTCCCAAACTCACCCAAGTAGGCAGTGGGAAGGGAGGCGCCAGCAAACCGAAGGAGGTTTTTCTCAACTGATCATCTTGGGGAAAGCCAGATACAAATTTCATGGCTGGAATGTAAGCGTTGTGAAATGCTAAAGAAGCCCTCAAGAGGGTCAAGGAGACTCCTTCTGGGAAGGCAGTTGGAGGAGGGCTGGAAATAGTGAATGGGAGAGGGGCAGGTTACCCAGAGAGGCCTGCCTTTCTGGAAAGCAAGAAATAAGGCCTTCAGAAAGAAAGAAATCCCCTAGTACTGAGGCAGTGCAGGGTCAGAGAAAGGGTTGTACTTGTGTTTGAACTTGAAGAAAACAAGGTCTCATATCAAAAAGTAATTCTGCTATAAATGAGCCAGTTAATTCAGAGCTCATTATTTCTGGGATTTAGAATCACTGGGGTTCATGGTATGTCATCCCTGGAGTTAAGTAAGCATAGTAAGCTTTTAACATGGGGCTTAGCTTTGTCCTCAGTGTCATGTGAAGGGTTCATATTCATGCTACAACTAGTTACAGGAGTTCTCCCAGTGAAGGTCATTGTTATCTCAGAGACACTGATTCTGTGTTCCCTGAGAATGAAGCAAGAAAGATCACATCCATTTTTTTTGGTTCTGGGAATTGAACTCAGGGGCACTCAACAACAGAGCCACATCCCCATCCCTATTTTGTATTTTATTTAGAGACAGGGCTCACTGAGTTGCTCAGTGCCTTGCTTTCGCTGAGGCTGGCTTTGAACCTCCTATCTCAGCCTCCTGAGCCGCTGGGATTACAGGTGTGTGTCATTGCGCCTGGCTCACATTTGTTTTAATGTCTGACAGATTGCCCTGAGCTCTAACTTCTTCTAACCTTAAACAAATTACTTATTAACTTCCCTACATTTCAGTTTTCTCATCTATAAAAGGGAGATGTATAAGACTATCTACTCTATAGAGTAGCTAGGAGGATAAATTAAATTAATATGGTTATAAAGTCCTTATAATATTATCTGGCTCAGAATAAGCTCTATAGAAGTGTTGGCTGCTATGGAGGTGTGAAAAGAACAAGCATCTGACTCCCCCAAGTAGGCCAGGACCCAGGTGCTGATGCCTAGGCTTGATCAGCTGTTCTGAACCTCTGATCTATCTCTGTGCCCTCCTCAGACCATACACAGACCCACAAAGACCATGTATCAGAGTTCTCCAGCCCAGAAATCCTGACTAAGTGGAAATCAGACACCAGACAAAATAAGGCCCATGCTGGCTGCTTCCCCACAGGGAGAGGAGCAAATCCTGGTGCCAGCACATTTTGGGTCAGCTTTCTCTATTGCAATCCATATGGTGTGTCTGAAACAGGGTCAGGTCCCAGAGTGGGCAGCACAGATATTATTCTCATGCTTGCTAATCTGAACTGAGTCTGTCACCATTGATCCTGAGACAACAGGGAGCCAGAGTTTGAGAGACTCAAGGGTGTACTGGAGAATGGCCTTGGCAAAGGAGGAGGAACCATCATTCAACTGGCTGCTAACAAATTGTAATGAGCACCAAGAACCTCAGAGCACACATTCTGATTCTCTCCAGATGGCAAAGTCTGGCACTCTGGGGACCTGACTGAGCACACTTGAGCTGCATAAAGGGGAGATGATCCCAGAGGGCTGGCACCTCTGATCTATTCCCACCCACTTCTGTATGTGAGCCATCTGAGGCTAAGGGGTGGAGGCTGTAGCCTCTGTCTTGTGCCCAAACCACTGCTCCACTGCCCAGTCATGGGGTATCTATAGGAACCCAGAGCCTGTGCCTCCTTGAAGTATCTTGGGGTACAATAGCTGAAAGTACTCTCAAGACAGGGAACAAGATCTCAGGCTTGTCCTGGTAGTAAGGAGGGGCAAGTGGGTGTGCATGTTGGTAGGAGCCCCTGCCCTCTGACTCTGGCCTTCTGGAGGCATGAGGGCCATCTGCACTGGCAGTCACCAGGTTATAGGTAATTTTCTTTAGATTTTAAGTCTACTAGTACCTCTGGCTCCCCAACAGTGCCAAGAAGGCCTTTAACAAGAAGCCAAGCTAAGGGCACAGGAAGGAGTATGGCTCTGGGACAGGGTCCAGACTACAGGCAGAGAGCTTCCAGATGCCTCACAACCCAGCTTGGCCATCTGCTGCCACCAGAGGAAGATCCTGGTGCCCCAAAGCCAGCTACTTCAGGCTGGAGAAACACACTGGCTACAGTTGAAAGTCACTCTGAGGTGGCAGTGGAGACCTCTCTAGGCCCTTGCCAAAGAGTTCAACTCTCTTGGCTTCTGGATGGCAAGTTTACCAGTGAGCCATGTTGGTACCCAAGTAATTCTTCTTACTCCACAATCCACTCTTAGAATGTAGTCTTAACCTTAGCTGGCCAGGCCTCCCCTTATTCCATTCCTTTCAGCAGTTTCCTTTGCTTGAATGATTCTAGTATGAGATATCATGGTCCTTCTCCAAGATACTTTCCCTAACTATGCCAGGTCATACTGTCTCTTCTTCTTCTTCTTCTTCTCCTCCTTCTTCTTTTTTTTGTTTTTGTTTTTGTGGTATTAGGGATTAAATGCAGGGCCTTGCACATGCTAGGCAAGTGCTCTATGACTTACCTATGTCCCCAGCCCTTTTTCGGAATTTTATTTTGAGATAGAGTCTAACTAAGTTTCTTAGGTTGGCCTTGAATTTAAAATCCTCTTGCCTCATCCTCTTCAACAGCTGAGATGGGCTGCCATGCCCAACTTCTGACCAACTTTTCTGTAATATACTACATCACTACCATTTCTGGGGATCACGGATCAGCAATTGGAGCTATACTACAAGAGCAGCAGCCATTTCCAACAAATTGATTTACTGTCGGATTCATACTGTTAAAAGTTCATTTTTAGTTGGGCACAGTGGTACATGCCTGTAATTCCAGTGATGCGGGCGGTTGAGATGGGAAGATCATAAGATCAAGACCAGCCTCAGCAACTTAGCAAGCAAGGCCATAAGCAACTTAGTGAGACCCTGTCTCAAAATAAAAAAATTATGAAAAGGCTGGGGATGTGGCTGGTTTAGTGGTTAAGCAGCCCCTGGTTTCAAGCCCTGGTACCTCCCCCAAGATGTTCACTGTTTGATTCATGCACCCCTCTGCCACAAGGAAGATCCTGTGAACCCTGGATGACCCCCTTTGGCCCTGAGTTTGCCACAAAGCAAGTGTGTAATTCAGACTTCTTAGAAGACAGGTAGATCATCCTAATCTTTCAGAATTAGTTGACGTCCTTTTTAGCTCAAGGCACAGCAATTTCCTCCCCGGCAGGCAAGGTTCCTGCTCCGAGCTGCCAAGTCCCAGGCATCCCCTGCCAGCAGCAATTCCCTAGAGTTGCTGGTAGGACTAAGGGCAGAAAGGGATGCTCTAGACCTGTCCACCACTTGTCCCCTATCCGAGGAAGAGGGGTTGGTGGGAAGGAAGTTGACCCCTGGGGTGGCCTCAGTCTCCCCCAAGGGCAACAGGGCCCCCTGGACAGGCAGCAGAGGCCTACAAAAGATTTTCCTTCCTTTCCCTAGGGCCCAGGGAAGCAGGCAGGAAGAAGTGCCTCAGTAGCAGGCATCTAGTATGGGGGTAGCCAGACAGGGAGGTCCCCAGGGTTGCAGCTATCAGCCGGAGACCAGGCTCCAGGAAGGAAGGAAGGGCAACTCTGGCTGAGGCTGAGATAAGAAGGGGACTGTGCTCAGCACAATGGGCTCCAATAAGGCTGAGAGGCCCCAAGTCAGATTTTGCCCCAACCTGGCCTCCTGTCTATTCACACAGCCCATATAAATATTTACTGCTGTTTATATTCCTGGTCCACTGGGTCCCCTTTGAGGCCTTTACCTATGACCCACAGATCTATGTGCTCTAGACCATGCCTGCCCTTACATCTAGAGGCCCTGGACTCACCCAGCAAGGGTTATGGACATTGTTCTCTCATACAATCCACAGGGACAGTCCCTGGGACAAAACTATCCTCTTGTCCCAGGCTTGGAACATTGGGAACTTACGGGGTCCGGTCATGGGTGAGGCCATTCGGCCGCTGAGGGTTGATCTGGGGGTTGATTGGTGGAAGGACAGGTTTGCTGTTGATCTCGAGTCCTCTCCTCAGGGTCTCTCGGATCTGCTCTGTGTCTGCAACCAGATCATTAAATATTCTAAGTAGCCTTTGAATTTCCAGCAACCCCCACCCAGGCCCTGAAACCTAGTTCAACAGACATACTGGGGGAAGGCCACCATGCTAGCCAGTCCTGAGCCTACTCTATGCATCTAGATGTGAGAGCTGAGTGAGGGCAGATTGTGAGGAGATGGGGCAGATGAGGCATCATGCTCTCAAGAAGCTCTCTCTGACTCCAGAAGGCACTCATCATTGTTCTTTTTCTTTCTTTCTTTTTTTTTTTTTAAAGAGAGAGAGATGGGGGAGAGAGAGAGAGAATTTTTTATATTTATTTTTTAGTTCTCGGCGGACACAACATCTTTGTTGGTATGTGGTGCTGAGGATCGAACC